CATCAGCATCGAGGACGAGATGGACGTGGCACCTCTGAACCTGGGCATGATCGCTGCCTACTATTACATCAACTACACCACCATTGGTGAGCACGGGCCCACAGCTGCTGATCTCCCTGCCTGCTGGGGCAGAAGCTGCTCTCTGGTGGGGGTCGGGTTCTCAAGAGCCCCCATGTGTCCTAGGGATGGTACTGCAGGAGCGCTGCACTGCCGAAGTGCTCATTGTCTTCCCCTGCAGAGCTCTTCAGCATGTCGCTGAACGCCAAGACCAAGGTGCGTGGGCTTATCGAGATCATCTCCAACGCGGCGGAGTATGAGAACATTCCCATCCGGCACCACGAGGACAACCTCTTGCGCCAGGTGAGGCTGTCCCCTTGATGGGGCCCTGGCCTCCATGTCAGCACCCCCACAGCTCCTCCCCCTGCATCCTTGTCTCTCCCCACCTCCCTGTCCCTGGGGAGCCTGGCTGTGCGGGGCTGCCACGGTCTTGGACAGGGTTCCTTCGCATCACCAGCTTCTCCTCCCACTCAGTTGGCTCAGAAGGTCCCCCACAAGCTGAACAACCCGAAGTTCAATGACCCACATGTGAAGACCAACCTGCTACTGCAGGCTCACCTGTCCCGCATGCAACTGAGCGCCGAGCTGCAGTCGGACACGGAGGAGATTCTCAGCAAGGTAGGCAGGGCTCAGGCCGGGGGGCAGAGGCAGCCGGGGAGGACTCGTCTGAGCCGCCTGCTCTCCTCTGCACCTCGCAGGCAATCCGGCTCATTCAGGCCTGCGTGGATGTGCTCTCTAGCAACGGCTGGCTCAGCCCTGCCCTGGCAGCCATGGAGCTGGCCCAGATGGTCACCCAGGCCATGTGGTCCAAGGACTCCTACCTAAAGCAGCTGCCACACTTCACCTCAGAGCATATCAAGCGCTGCACAGACAAGGTGAGCTGGGTGGACTCCATGCTGGGTGGGGATGCCTGGGAGCTGAGGCTGCTAGACACCAACAAGGGCCTGGGAGAGATGCCGACAGGCGGCTGGATGTGAACAGTGTGCTCCTTGGAGCTGCCTTTTGTGAGGTGACCTGGTAGTGGTGGAAGAGGTATTAGCAGCTTTTCAGAGCCGGGCCACTTGCCAGCTTTCTGTCCTGACTCTGTCTGCCCACTGCAGGGAGTGGAGAGCGTCTTTGACATTATGGAGATGGAGGACGAGGAACGGAACGCACTGCTTCAGCTCACGGACAGCCAGATTGCAGATGTGGCCCGCTTCTGCAACCGCTACCCCAACATCGAGCTGTCCTACGAAGTGGTGGATAAGGACAGCATCCGCAGGTGAGCCGGGCGCCGGCAGGGGCAGTGCGAGGCTGTGCCGAGCGCAGCGGCCACTTCCCTCACGGCTGTCCTGCTTTCCCCACAGCGGGGGCCCGGTCGTGGTGCTGGTGCAGCTCGAGCGAGAGGAGGAGGTCACAGGCCCCGTCATTGCGCCGCTCTTCCCTCAGGTACAGCCTGGAGCCTGGCTTTCCCAGGCTCCTTGGGGCCACCCCCTGGCTAGGTCCCTGGTACCTGGTGCATTTCCTGTGGCGGGAGGGAATTTGAGTCATAATTAATCGTGAGGCTGTGAATTCTTTTTTTTTTTCTGCTTATTATTAGATAATTTGTTGTTGGTCTGAGCGACTGTTATAGCACATATGTCTTGAAATAGGTCCAGGGCTCCGGCTTTTCTAGTTGGTGTGTTTGCGCAGTCTCCTTGGTCAGGTACACTGTACCGAGCTTTGGGCTGGGGAATGTTTATCACCAGCAGGGAAATCTGAGCTGACTCATTGCAGGCTGGCAGCAGATACTGTGATGCTATAAACTGGGTTCTGTGGGTCTGAAGAGCGTGCGCTAGGCCAGCACACATGGGCATTGTGGCAGTGGAGTGGCCAGCAGAGGAGGCCTCTTACAGACAGGGTTTCAGCAGCCTCGTTGGGCCTGCTTGGGCCCTGCTGCTGGCTCTGGCTGTTACAGTTTACTCAGCTGGCCTGTGTGCCTTCTGGGCCCCAAAGGTTAGCTCTCTAGGGTGACAGGGACTGAATGATAGGGACCTTGGGACAAGGAATGAGCCACAAACAAGTTAAGGTTAAATCTAGGGCGCCTGGGATTTAGCTCAGTGGCTTAAGTGCTTATCTGGTGAGTGCAAGGTCGTGAGTTCGATCCCCGGTACCAAAAAAAAAAAAAAAAGATTAAATCTATTGAAATACTTTTGACAACTTCAGAATCTTAATATCAAGTTGTGTTTCCGGGAGGAACATGGGAGAAGCTTCCTGACCTCTGCTGTCCTATATGACCATGCTCACAGTCGCCTATGGCGTCGGGCTTTGTATGTTTTTTTTTTTTTTGTCTTTTTGAGACAAGGTCTCTGTATGCATTTCAGCTGGCCTTGAGCTCACTTTGTAGCCCAGGCTGGCCTCGAACTCACAATGATCCTCCTGCTTCAGCCTCCTGAGTGCTGGGATTACAGGCGTGAGCCACCATGCCCGGCTTTTTAATTTTTTGTTTTTTTTTGTCTTTTTGAGAGTATGCTGATATTTTTATCTTTGGCCACTGCAGAAACGTGAAGAGGGCTGGTGGGTGGTGATTGGAGACGCCAAGTCCAACAGCCTTATCTCCATCAAGCGGCTGACCCTGCAGCAGAAGGCCAAGGTGAGCATCACGGCCCTGTAGCTGTCCCTGGCGGGGCCGGGTGATGGTGCAGTCCCAGGCTCCGAACTGCCCTGACTCTTGCCTGCTCCCTCCAGGTCAAGCTGGACTTCGTGGCGCCAGCCACCGGTGCCCACAATTACACCCTGTACTTCATGAGTGACGCGTACATGGGCTGTGACCAGGAGTACAAATTCAGCGTGGACGTGAAGGAAGCCGAGACAGACAGTGATTCAGATTGAGTCCCAGCCTGGTCAGAAGTGGGTTGGTCTGGAATTGGGAATGAGTGCAGCTGAGGGACGCTGGTTACGGGAGACGTGTCTGTTGGCCCAGGACCCAGCTTCCTCCGCTCTGTCTTGGTGGTGCACGGCCTGGGTCCAGCACCCGTGGGCGACCAGCAGACATAACTCTGTATTGCATCCCTAGGCAGGTTCTTTGTAGCTCCTTGTACCAGTCATGCTCGTGATACCTTGGAGGACCCCTTTGTCCTCTCAGTGATTCCAAATTAAATGTTCTTTCTCCAGCCTAAGGCACTGTCATGAACCTCGCTTGTTGAGTACTTGTGGAGACATAGCTGTTGGTGGGGCTTCCGTCTGGTGGAGGGAACATGACAGATCGTCTCTCCTGGGGGACTTTGTGCTTCAGCCACCTTGTTACCTACTTCACCTCCCCTTGGTTGTGTGGACTCAAGTTAGGTGTTCTCAGTGAAGAGTGCTAGCTGAACCTGACCCAGGCTTGGTACACTCATTTGTAACCCCAGACTCCAGGTCGGCATGGGATTCCTGCCTCCCGTTCTTTATGAATGTACTTGCACAAAACCAAAAGGTTAGGCTGGTAGTCTTCATGTGATTTAATTTCAGGACCCCTTCACACTATAAAAACTTAAGACTTCAAGGAATTTTATTATCTACATTATATAGATACTGCGTTAAATTAATCAACTTCATGTTAACATTTTTTATGAAAAATAACTTCCAAAACGAAAGAATCAGGGAGAAGAGTAACCTGTTAACAATTTTGCAGTCATGTTTTTGAGTCTAGTAATGGCGTTTATATATTATTTTTTCTTAGTGTATGTTTGCAGTACATAAGGATCCCATTCTTTGTGAGGAGTCTTTAACCAGTCTTTTCAGGTAGTAGTCATGGCTGTTCTTGGATACTGCACCAAGCAGTTGCTTAAAGACAGCGGTGGACCTAAACCTTGGCTCATGTGCCTTGTATGGTTACAGTCAACCCACTGGCTTCACACTGAATCTCTTGCCTAAGTGATTTGTGACATTTGGAAAATGCTGGTTCACTGGGTTACATGATCTTCCAAGCGGCAGAGCATCTCATCATCTAGATCACACTGGCAAGCAACCACTAGCAAAGCTCAGGGTGACACAGAAATTCTAATTCTGGCTTTTAGCTTTATCATTGGCAGTGAACACCTATCAGTGAAAGGTTCATTCTGTTCGTTTCCCAGCAAGTGTGAGGGCCAAGTTTGAAGCAGAACATGCGGGAGGACAGCTAACTCGACTGCCCTGCTGCCCACCTGCTTTTCCATTCCTCAGTGCAGGAGTATCCACACTCCTCACTTTCTCAGCGTATTAGAAATGTTCTCAGGCTCAACATGTAAGCACTGTCATTGTAGGTGTGTGGCAGCAAAGTCTTAGGCTACAGTTAGTTTGCTGTCACTGCCATGATGACTCCAGTGCCACTCCGAATGGGTCTCAAGCTGCCAGGGAGCTCTGGCTCATGCGAACCACTGCTCTGGGTGCTGGGCTGGCTGTCCCCAGCCTAAGGAGATGGTTCTTGCAGGGCAGAACACGCAGTGAAGGCTGTTGTCTTGGGGATGCCCTTACTCCCCAGCCATCTGTTGGGAGATGAAGTGCTGGGCACACAGGCAGCATATCACTGTCCTCCTGAATGGCTCCCCAATGGATGCCAGACTGGTTCTCAGGGCCCATGCAGTCTTATGTTTTTGCTCCCATGGAAGAACCATTCTGCAACCTTGCTGAGAAAGACAGCCTGTAGCTAGTAATTCCCTTTTGAGGCTCATCTTTCTGGATTATTTTCTCATAAGCCCCTGGTTGTGCCCATACTGTACAGGTGCAGGCAATGTTTGAGGGCTTGTCCTTTTATCCTACATAAACCTACACCAAGAAAAATTCCTTCAGTATTAAAGGTCTTAAGCTAGGCAAGCTGGTGTATGCCTATAATCCCAGCACTTGAGAAGCTGAGGCAGAAGGGTTGCCGTGAGTTCAAGAACAGCCTAGGCTATGTAGTGAGTTCAAGGCCAACCAGAGCTACATAGTGAGACCCTGTCTCCAAAAAACCAAAAAATACTAATAAATGTCTTACATACAAGGATTTATCTAAAGAACTGGGAAGATCTTCAGACAATTTGTGATGGAATTCCCAAACACTGTCTATTGACAGAACTTTGGATTCAGAGGGATTATTTCCATACAGCCTACAATTTCAGAAACAACTGAGACATACTCTCCTACATACATAGAGCGGTCCAATCCTATGTTCTCTGCCCCAAAGTACAGCGCCATTAGTGAGCAAGCGAATCTCTGGGGGGACAGTGTACTGAAGTGAGGCTCTACAGGGCCCTCATGTCAATAGGCAAGTGGCCCTGGCAACGCATGCGGGTGGCCAAGTCTAGACTGGAGTGAGCCAAGCTGAAGGTAAGGATGCTTCTCCACATCTTCTCAGGCTGGGGAAGATCAGAACATTTCTGGGAAACCAGGATGCTCCCATCAAGGTGGCTCAGGGTCCTTAGGGCCGGTGATACTTCCAGAAGGCCACCTCCCCGTCATCACTGCAGGAAGCCAGGAGCCCTGGCTCCTTGGGGTTCCAGGTGACACAGTTGACGTCCTGGGAATGGGCCTGGCGCAAGTGGGCAGTCAGAGAAAAGGTGGGCTGCTGCGGGTCTGAGCTAGGGTCCTCCTCAAACACGCGGATGGCGTCATCCCCACATGCGGTAGCCAGGGCACCCGTCAGCTGACACCTGGGGGAACACACAGTCAGAGGGAGCTTTTCCTCCGTCCCTGACAGGAAGGGCACAGACCTTGCCTCCTGAGCCTTCAGGCGCTCCACTTAGTCCCCATGTAACTAACCTGAAACAGCATCCCCCTGTTGGCATCTGACTGTGTATGTTTCACACAGCATAGACAGTGGCCCACACCTGCCGTGAATTTCTTTTGTAATACTAAGGATCAAATGGGGGACGTCAAGCGTGCTAGACAAATGCTCTGCCATGGAGCTACATCACAGCTCATAAAATATTAACTCCAAAACAGCAAGATAACAGGCAGGGATTGAATGTTACTGTTAAGTCAACTTCTGTTGGATACATTGGTTGTTCTCAAATGTTTGCTAATATAAACAAAGCTTGTACATGCATCAACTTCTTTCATGGCTTCGGATTATTTTCTAGATCCAATGTGCAGAGCTGCCCTCTGATGTCTCTCCTGTACAAGTGTACAGCTTTCCTAGCCCTACAAGGATGGCTAGAAACTATAAGGGCCCGGGAGTGTACTCAGTAACAGACCACTTCCCTAGCATGCATGAGCCCTGGGTTTGATCCCTCCTGCCAGAATGAATGAATAAACCCCACTCAAGAACAGGCAGATTTCATAGTCACACAGCTACAGTGCTTTGTGAACCCCAAGGTCAGCTGTTGCTGTTGCAGGCTAGGATCTTAACTCAGGGGTTGGCCTTGGCCTAGGTCTGTTCTCCATTCCTGTCAACCCCAGGCCAGCCAGCTCTCAGCCGGCTGGACAAACAGGCCTGATCTTAAGAAATGGGGTGGGTTGCTTTCAGATCCTAAGATGGCAGATGGCAGCATGGGGGTCACGACATCTCTAAAGTCCCTGAATATGGTGGATTTGTGCAAATCTTACCAAGAAACATCATAAATGGTCCTGGAGTGGAAGCCCGACAAAGTGCAGATGCATTTCCAGGTGGGGTCAGAGCCACTGCATGCCACCCCTGCATGACAGACTCCTCTTAGGCCCAAGATGTGGCCATGTCTTGGGCATCTCAAGAACAAAACTACCACTGCTAAGGAAAACCTCACTTGCACTCCTCTACCCTCACTTTCAACCAGCTACAAGTCCTGGTCTCCGACTAGCCCCATCCTCATTATCTGCCTCACACACTGTGGCCCTGCTGACCTTCCCAAAGCTGTGCCCACCCACCAGCCGGCCCGACCCACTTTACTCCTCCCAAGCCCTCTCTCCCCACCATCCCTCACATAAGCCTGGGCATTTCCTACTGGGCTTTCCCTAGACTTCTCCTTGTGTGAAATTCTTTTCCTCCTGTTAACCTCCTTCAAGCCCTTTCCAATTTGAACAAAAGGGCTCTGCTCCACAAACCCTTCCCTGCTCTTCCACGACTCTGAACTGGAACCCTTGTGGTCTGTGTTACTTCTGATCCAATTTGCTGTGATTTACAGACATCTTTGTAGGCTGCAAAGCCCTTAAGAGTCTCTTTCAGCCCCACAACTGGACCCTCACCTTGTTCGTTGCCTGGTAGATACTGGCGCCAGATGCGCACAGTACGGTCATCACTGCAGGACGCCAGGCGCTGGCCACTAGGATCAAAGGCCAAGCTCCACACAGTGGATTCGTGGCCCTCGAGTGTGGCAAAGCATACCCAGTCATCATCTTCTTCCCGGTACAGCTTCACTGTGTCATCATAGCTGGCAGAGGCCAATAGCTGGGAGAGGGGGAGGAGACCCAGCACTTGTCTGTAAGGCCCAGGCAGTACCTGCGGGTCCAGTACCTCCCCTACCAGGAATCTATTTTTATAGAGGAATCATGATTTCCAGTCACAAAGATTCCTATATGCCAGGAATATATTCCTATATTCCCATATGAGGGGAAACAGTAGAAGAAGCCTGGCCAAAAGCTTCCATACCTAACTTTCTTCCATCAAGACCTAGTCCGACTCTTACCTCCTGGCTCGGGTGCCAAACCACATGCTTGACATCCTGAGTATGGGAGTTGAGGACACTGACACATTCATACTCATCTTCTTCATCAACTGTGGGAGAAAACAAGAGTCGGCCCTGTCTGGGATGCAGGAAGGTCTCCGAGCTGGTTTTCCATTTCCCCCCGAAGGCCATGGACTCACCTTCCCAGACCCACACGCTCTTATCTCGGCTGCAGGTGGCCAAAAGGTTGCCAGATGGGGCCCATGCCACGGACTTGACCTCATTTTCATGGCCCTCCAGAGTGGTTACACACTGCAAACAGAAGAGGAAGAAGAGCTAATGGCAGCTTAAGACCCCCTAGGATTCAGCCAAAATCCAAAGTCTCAATTTGCACAGTATTGAAAGTGAAGCAGAGGGCGGGCTTCTCACAGGTCCCGCAGGTTCGTGTGCCTAAACCAGCCCTAATAGCAGCAGGCAGCAGAGGGGAACAAACAGCTAAAAATCCGGGTCCCATTCAGCTTGATTACCTCGAAGTCATCCTGGTGCTTCTTCCAGATGCAAGTGGTTGCATCAAAGCTGGCAGATGCTAGGTAATTCCCACAGGGAGACCAGGCCACCTTTCGGACTGTGCGCTGATGGCCTTCGGAAAGCACAGACTTGCAGACCCAGCTGTCACCTACAGGCATAGGACAAGCTCCGTGGGCTCTGGGGCTGGGATCACAAGAAGATGATCCAGTACCATCAATGCCATTCAATCGAGAGGGCTACAACTGGAGCCCAGTTGGCGGCCAAAGCTCAAACCACCATTTCAATAACACAGTAGGCACCCTTCTAAACCAAATCAGAGGTGGCACCTTCCGGATTTACAACTGTCAATGGCTCCCACATGCCACAAGACACTTTGCGGGCCACTCACTCTCCTGCCTCACCAACCAGCCCAAGTCCTGCAACAGTCGCAGCCTGGCTTCACGTTTTGTTTGCAGGACGGGTCGATTGCTCTGCCTGAAGAATCCTTCCCAGAGTGGCTACCGTGCCCGTCCCTCGGCTCTCACACTGTGCACCAGCCGAAGCTTCGACGCCAGGTCGCGCAGCTGGGCCAAGCCTTACCCTCGGTGCCCCAGATACGGATTCGACGGTCGCCACCGCACGAGGCCAGCAGGGTTCCGGCGGGGTTCCAGGCCAGGAACCAGCAACGGGAGTCGGGATGCGCCGCAACACGGCTCAGCAGCACCAGTGAGTCCTTCATGGTGGGTGGCACAGGGTGAGGAGGTGGGCAGAGTCCACCCGCGGACCGCTGGTCCACCGCAAGTTCCCGTGACGCCCGCTCCAGGTTCCCGCGGCAGACAGGCTCTTGCTTCCGCTCCGAGCCCGGGTTGTCCTGGGAACTGAGTCCCTCCACCCCCGCGCAAGCTGTGCTGCTCAGGCCTCTGGGAGTTGTAGTTTCTCCACTTATCCTGCCACGGGAAGCGCCACGAGACCGCCTCGAACTACGATTCCCACAAGACCCTGTACAAAGGGCCGGAAGCGCGTGCAGGTTGCGGCGCGGGCGGGGCATGGGGCGGGGAGCCGGAGGAGGCGGAGGCAGAGGAGGAGGAAGCCGGAAGTACATCTGTCCGGGTCGGTCTGGGCGTTGCGGAATTGGGGCCTGGGATCGCTCAGCCCCGGGCAACTGAGAAGCCCGTGACGGGGCGGAGCGGCGCCATCCCGGCCCTGAGGCCTGCTGAGTGGTGAGGAGCAGGGGCGGAGTTTGAGGGTCTTTTTTGCCGCAGGTCGCACCCCAGAGTACGGGTCTTAGATCTTTGGTCCCGGATCCCTGCGGCCCAGCCTGGTCCTCCGCCCTTCGTCACCCTCTGGCCAAGACTCCAGGTTCAGGTTCTCCCCTCCCCCAGTGGCCGATCCCCAATATCTCCGCGACCCCCCATCTGGTCTGCACATACTCCACTTCTCCCCCATCGCCGGTCCTTGTCCCGCACCCCTAATTCTGAGCCCCGGTCCCCGCCCCCTAATTCCCGCAGTCCTCCGGTCTCTGCTCAGCTCTGGGTCCCACCGGTCATCCTCCGCTGCCGGCCTTGACAGCCCCTTTCCGGCACCCAGGGCATTGCTTTCCTTCTCGGGACAGGCAGGCGACCCGCAGCGACCGTACAGTGACGGCGGGCGGCCCGGGACATGTACGCCCCTGGAGGCGCAGGGCTGCCCGGCGGGCGCCGGCGGAGGAGCCCCGGAGGCAGCGCTCTGCCCAAGCAGCCCGAGCGTAGCCTGGCCTCGGCCCTGCCCGGGGCCCTGTCCATCACGGCGCTATGCACTGCCCTCGCCGAGCCCGCCTGGTTACACCTACACGGAGGCACCTGTTCCCGCCAGGAGCTGGGGGTCTCCGACGTGCTGGGCTACGTGCACCCGGACCTGCTGAAAGGTGAGAGCGCTGGGCTCCTGTCCTCCGGGCCTGAGGGGCCGTCCGGCGTGGGGGACTGGCTGAAGCAAAGCTTAAGGGCCTTTGGTTGAAGCAGACAGCCCCTGTCCTGCTTCATGCCCACCAGGTGGCTCTGTTTGGGGTCCAGCTCCTCATTAATTCTGATGTTATTCAGCTAAGCACCTACTTCTCACAGCCATGTTAATCCTGTCTGCTGCTATTTTCGGATTCTGCCTGCCTTGTTTAGGGAGAAGATAAGGGGTCACTATCGCCATCCTCTCCTAAGGGACCTTTGGGATACAGCAAGCTGCTCTGGGGCTGCCTGACTGATGGAAGAAAACGAAATTTTAATACAAATAGCTTTTAGAGGATGTTGTAGAATTCTAGGGTCATTGGACTTTTATTAGAGAAAGGGGATGTAGCGTTTTAGGTCAACCGAAGTCACTGTCGTTGACAGCAGGAGCTAGCCTGTCCCTGGGAGCCCCCAGCTCACCTACTTCCTGTCACCAGTAGTGAGGGTACAGGCTCTGGTGAGAGCAGGACTGCACTGTCTGGTTTTGAACCTAAAAACAATCAATAGTCCCCCAGACAGTCTTTAGTAAGAGCAGTTTGGCACTCCAAGATCTTTTGAACCATTCCTAAAGTTCTTCCTATTGCCTCCGGTGTCTCTGGCAGTGATGCATTCCAGGTGTCTGCGGCCCCACCCATCAGAGCCCTGCTAGATTCCCACCAGGAATCCACATGTTGCTTCTTGAAGGGTTCAGACCCGGGGATCTGGTGAGAAGGGCACAGCTACTTGTGCACGATGACTCAGTACCACTTTGCAGGTCTGGGCCGAGAAACCTTAGCCTGTGGTCTATTGTTGTTGAACCTTCTCTCCATGGTTTGCTTCTCGCTTGGGTTTCAGAGGCCTTTGGGATGGTTTTGTAGAGAACAGTATGAGGACTTCTGGTTTGTTTCCAAATTCACACTCCTGATGCCCATGGTGCAGTTGGCTTTTGCAAACTGAAGTTGTCCACCTGGTGGCCTTTTGCTGGGCACATAGCCCATGGTACAGAGGACTTCAGGATGAAGTGGGTGCGGATGGTTCTTCCCTCAGCACATTACCTCTTGGACTGCCTCTTGGACACACAGCTGCCAGCTTCCTGCTCTTCTGCCAGGCCTTTTGCACTTGCTCCCACCGTATTTCGATGTTTCAGGAGCTGAGTGTCACATGCAAACCAGGAGTGAGCTAGCCGGGTCCTCTGCAGCTCTCTCCTGGGGTAGAGGGTTCATGGAAGTCTCAAGACGGAGAGAAGGCTATCAGACCCCACTTCCTTACTCAGGAAACTGTGGCCCTGAAAAGTAAAGCGCTTTCCCCACGGCTGCCTACCAGACAGGGTCATAGCTGAGACTGGCGCCCGTTTACTGATGCAGATATCAAATGGTTCTTTCTTAATTATGGTTTCTATCCTGTTTTAACTCAGCAGTAAAGAGTAATCTCGTGAGATTGTTGTGTGGTGTGCTTCCTTGTCAAAGGCGTGTGGAAATAAAAATGTTGGTGCACCTTCTCCTTTGTTCATATGTGTGTTTGCCCTTTCTGAGAAAGGACTCAGCCCAGATTCTGTCTTTTGTAAAACGAGTTACCTCAGGGCTGCGGATTTAGCTCAGTGGCATAAGTGCCTGCTTTGCAAGCTCCAGGTTGTGAGTTTGATCCCTGGTACCTAAAAACAACAACAACAACAACAACAAAACCTCTGTTACCTCAACCCTTATATTCCATTTGTTCTGTGTTTAGAGAGCGTTGGTGATGATGCAGTACCAGGGGACTGACCCAGGGCCTTTGCACTGAGCTGTATCTGCGGCCCTTTTTTATATTTTCACTTTGAGACAGGGTCTCTAAATTGCTAAATTGCCCAGACTGGACTTGAACTTGTGATCCTCCTGCCTCAGCCTCCCAGAGTGCTGGGATTACAAGCATGTGCCCCCGTGTCTGGCTACTGCTGGGAAATCTTAACCCAGGTACCATTTCTGTTCGCTTGTCCTGGCTGTCTCCCTGGCCATTGCAAGTTGGGAACATTTGGTGCCTGTTACTAGGAGAGTTGGCAGTGGTCCCTCGGGAGCTATGGTAAGAACCAATGAATCAGTAGATCCCCATTGGTTCCCCTCTCCTGTCTCTCTGTACCTGGTCTTTTGGTCCTACTGGGCCTTCACTCTTGTGGTATCCTGTGTGACGGTGTGACCTTCTGGGACCAGCAGTTGTGACCTGGAAGCCTTGTGCATTCCCCATTTCCAGAGGTAGCAGAGCTGGGGGCATAGGCTTGGTGCTCACAGATCTTCAAGAGGGAGAACAGAGCTTGTGGGTCCCAGCAGGTGACAGGTGCCATCTCTTAGCACCTGCCTGAGTGCAGTTTCTCATGGAGATCTTGGCTCAGGGAGGTTGGGCAATCTACTTAAGGACACACAGCAGCCTGAGTGGCTTTGACTTCAAGGTCCACACTCTCGATAATACACCCCACTGCTCTCTGTGTTTCCTTTTCTTTTGGTCAGAGTGGCCCATTTCCCTACCTTTTTTCTTCTTTTGTGTGCCCTGCTAGAGTAGTGGGTAGAATCCAGGACCTTCTCACTGAACTACGTCCTCAGTCCTTTAAGAAACTACTTTTGGGGACAAAGTCTTGCTAAGCCTGCTGTATTCCCACCTTAGTGACTGCTAAGTTGCCTGGGCTGGGCTTGAACTTGAGATCCTCCTGCCCCTGCCTTTTACCTCTAGTTGAATTTTTGTCACAAGCTGTGCTTCTTACCCCACAGTGCCTTGGTGGGTAGTCCTGAGGCAAACGAAATCATTCATCCTCTCACCATCACTCACAGAGCTTTTGGAGGTTAGCAAATGCAGATCAGCACGGAAGATTCTGCCCAGAATTCTTCCACTTTCCAGAGGCTGCCTGCTTCTCGTGTTGTACTCCACTCAAAAAACAAGGCCCCATGGTGAAAAACAGGGCAAGACCCCAAGATGACAAACGGGGTAAGACGTCTTTTTAAAAGAAGCGCTTTTATTTTAGCTGGCCCAGCAACACAGTGCAGATGGAATTTGCAAAGCTGAGTTTTGACTGATTTTTATAGTTTATTTATGATTAGCTCATTGACATTAAGTACATAGTGATGAGAAACAGAAATAAGGTGGGCCTTTGTTCCCCTTTGCTTGAGGTCAGAGGCATTTCATAGTGGGTAGTTAGCCAATTCATAGCCCTTGGTCTGCCAATTCCAGGAACATTTGTCTCTCATAAAGGGAACAATGGTTGACACAGCATCATTTATCTCTTACAAGGGGAACAAAAGTTGACATAGCACACAGGCCACTAAGGTGGAGGGGATGACACATTACAGAACAGCAGAAAGACGCGGTCAGTTAATTTATAACTATGTGGTTGGTGCTTGGTTACTAGGGTAATGAGCTCAGTATAGAATGACAATATTACTAATAACTATCTTTTTAAGTAACTATTTTTGTTAATTATCTTTTAATCAATTATTTTAATTTTTAGCATCTTAGTATAACATTCCCCGCTGATTTTTGTCAGTGATCCAAATCATTGGCTCATGGAATTTTTAAGCAGTGGTATTTGTTCATAAATTTGTGTCCTTAAAACCATGAGTTTTATTGTTTGAACCTGGTCTTTGACATAATTTACTAATCTATTTATAATGCAAGGTCCAATTGTTAAACAAGTAAGTAAGATTAACAGAGGTCTGGAGGCTGCTATGATTAACATTGTCAACCAGGGAGATAGAGAAAACCATCATTAAACCAATTCTGTTTAGCTTATCTGGCTTGTTCTCGTTCCTGTAGCCGCCTTTTAAGGCTGGCCATATTATTATCATGTCTGATAACCCTAAAATGATTGGCATACAAACAACAATTTTTTCCTAATGCCAGACAGAGGCCTCCTTCCTTTAGGAACAGGAGATCTAGACCCCGCCGGTTTTGTAAAACCATCTCGGTCAGTGAACTTAAAGAATCGTCTAATTTGGAGGCAGAGTCACTAAGGGCTGCTAAATCTTGGTCAGTGAGTGTACGTGTCTATAATTTTGGTCTTTTGACTATTAGGCTGGACACTCTTAAACCTATTGACCTTGTTATCTCAATTTTTAGTAATACAGGTAATAATACAGGATTTTTTTGTTTGTTTGTTTTTACTGGACTCTTTAAGTCAAAGCTAGGGAACAAGTGACTCCTACCATTATCTCTAGAGTACCAATACACTTGGGGAAAGATATGGACTAATGTGTAAAGCTCAGGGCACTGGGTGAACAGGTGATGCATGGAACAAGGAATTATATTAGAAGTACAGGCAAACCAGGCTCCATTGGGAGCAACAAGGTGTTGACTAGCAGGATAGGAAAAAGTATAAATCAAAGCCAAAGAGGTAGGATTACACAGTGCAGCATAAGGGGAAGTGTGCAAGGAGTAGGAGGCAGAGTAAACACAGGTTCCTGAGCACCCTGTACATTGTCCAGTCTGAGCAGGGCCTTAGTATCCCACCAACAAAAGGTGTCATCTGTACAGGAATTTAAAAGTTGATTTGCCATAAGCAATGTCCAGAGGCAAGAAGGGGCTAGAAATGGCACAGAAATCGCAAAGGGCAAAAAGGTCTCAGGAGTAGGAAGTCTAGTGGAGGAGAACAGAAGATTGGGTCTCCAGAGTGAGGAAAAAGGTAACTACCCCCTTTATTTTTTTGTCAAGGATATACAAATTTACAACCTCAATGTCTACAAAAATATTTCGTCTCTACCGACTGTGAACACCTATGATCAGAGGCTGGCTGTTGGTTTTGGGGGCAAAGATACCAGCCAGTGGACTGTAATTTCTTTTGAATACATAAGTCCCTGTAAGTCTCCATTAGCAACCAATCAGGCAGCATGGCATGCAAACCCAACATTTTTTTGTTTAATTTTTGCTGGGATGTTATCTAATAGGGAACATAAATCTATCTTAATTATCTCATAGACAGTAGCATTGGCTACCA